TATGCCCCTTGGGCTACAAGAGAAAACAAATACCCACAAGGGTAAAATGGGAAAAACTGAAGATAAATAAGTAATAAAAAAAAAATGCAGATACAAATTGTCCTCAGTGGTACAGGCTCTCCATCATGGCCGTCGATCTCTGGTGTCGTCTCTAATAGACGCGTCGGAATCTCCTATCGATGCCCCCATCAAAAAGGGGGAGGAGAAGGGACAAGAAATGGGGGAATGAACCTCAATTTATGAGCTAAAAAAGCTCTCTACTAGACATTAATGAGCTGATATCTAGTAGAGGAAAGCATTTATGAGCTTGAAACATAAGAGGCTCATTAATGAGCTGATTTAAGTAGAACTTACACAATTTTCAACTCAACTTGTTTTGATCCATTTCTTGCCTACATCAGAGTCGGAGGTAAACCGTGAGCCCGGACGCTTCCTGCGGTTGATGGATCTTGCGTTGTGCTCATCTAGGTACTTTACACATTCTCAAAGCTCTCAAAACACACCAAGACACAGGAGGGGTCGGTTGGAGCTTTCGGAGGAGATGGTGACAGGGCGAGCTTGATGGAGTCGGAGATAAACCGTGAGCTCGGACGCTTTCTGCGGCTGATGGATCTTGCGTTTTCCTCATCTAGGGACTTTACACACTCTCTGATGTAGGCAAAGGGGGGGGTCAACTCAAACCCAAAATAAGTAGGTTTTGACTTCCCTTGAGCTTACAACCTCAATAAAATTTGAGCTGGAATTTAGCTCATTTATGAGCTGGTTTTTAGTTCATTTATTGAACTAAAGGTTAGCTCATTATTAGTTAAGTTTTAGTTCATTAGTTATCTTAATTATATATTTTTATTTATAGTTTTTATGTCTTAAATTTAAGTTTGTCTCTTGGGATTCCAAAATGGCTTTTAGAATCCCAAGGATGTTTGTTTTCCCGTACCTTGGCTCCTTGGCTTCCACGGTTGGCTATTTCCGTGCATTGGCTCCTTGGTTCTCATGTTGGCTGCTGGTTTTCCGAGCTAGGGGCCTTCTCGTGGCTTTTGGCGCCTCGGTTCCGCGTGGTCTCTTTGGTTCCAGTGGCTGCCTCTTCGGTTCCTTGGCTGGGCTATTTTCCCGTGAAAAGCAGGGGGCTTTTCCGTGTCTTGTGATGTTTGGATTCCTATGGGAATTCAATTAGTGTGGTTGTTTGTATCCCCCTTTTCATACATATAAATATGAAGGGTTTTGTAATGTTTTAAAAAAGAGTAAGTTATTTTTGGAAAAGAAATCCTTGGGATTTTCTTGGAGAAGCTTGCGAGCTTTGTCCACCTTCTTCTTCCACCTCCTCTGGAAATCTTGCGAGCTCTTTCCACCCT